GTCCTAGATTCTTGGGGACACCCCAGGGGCATCCTAGATTCTTGGGGACACCCCAGGGGCGTCCTAGATTCTTGGGGACACCCCAGGGGCGTCCTAGATTCTTGGGGACACCACAGGGGCGTCCTAGATTCTTGGGGACACCCCAGGGGCGTCCTAGATTTTTGGGGACACCCCAGGGGCGTCCTAGATTTTTTAGGACACCCCAGGGGTGTCGCCTATAAATAGAAGCCTTAGGCCTCACTTTTTGGGGATCTGGATTTTTGGAGAATTGGCGAAACCCACGAAGTCAACGCAACTTCGCACCAACAAGTATGACGTTTGTACTTCGATGGCGCTTCCCGAGCAGCTATTGTCACAGGTACTCCTGGATGTTCTAAGGTCACCTCCGGAGTTGGAGTAGTTTTAATTTCCCCAGGAAAACATGTGATGCCTCGAGCCTACTCGTTAACCGAGCCATGCTCGAATAATGTAGCAGAGTATAACGCATTGATTATAGGACTCAATTTCGCTAAGGAGCTGGGGGTTGAGTATCTCGAAGCTTTCGGTGATTCTCAGCTAATAGTCAAGCAAGTCCAAGGAGAATATGAAGTCCGAAGTCAGGATTTAATACCATATCATAAGATGGCAGTGGAAATAGCAGAATCATTTAAAGGATTCTTCATCAAACATGTGCCACGATTACAGAATACATACGCGGATGCGTTAGCAGCTTTAGCCGTATCTTTGGCACAGCCTCCCGGGACGGAACAGTTTGTTACGGTAAGAACTCACCAACTCTTAGTGCCGCTTTACGATGAAGATGCCAAGGAAGAAGAGGTTCAAGAGGTGCACGCTACTCAAGTCGAGTTCGAACCACGAGATTGGCGTTTCCCCATCATCGACTACGTCTTGCATGGAATCTTGCCAGAAGATGTGAAGGAAAGAGAGTCAATCAGACGAAGAGCACCAAGATTCTACTATAATACGGAGAATCGAACGCTATACCGCAGGGGGTACGATGGGTTGCTAGCACGTTGCTTATCAACCAAAGAAGCTGAAGAGGTCCTTAGGGAGGCGCATGAAGGAGAGTGTGGCGCGCACCAACCTGGTCCCAAGCTTTATGACCGCATCAGAAGAATGGGATATTTTTGGCCTTTCATGATGAGTGATGCAATCGCATATGCCCGAAAGTGTAATGCATGTCAAATGCACGGGAATTATATGCACCAACCTCCGGAGCATCTGCATCCTTCGGTTACGTCATGGCCGTTCGAGACTTGGGGAATGGACATTGTTGGCCCTATAAATCCCCCATCAGTCAAAGGTGACCGGTTCATCCTGGCAATTACCGATTACTTCTCCAAATGGGCTGAAGCAGTTCCACTCAGAGAAGTTAAAATGAGTAACGTCATTGCAGTCATCAAGCACCATATCATCTACAGGTATGGTGTTCCAAGATGAATCATACATGACAACGGTCCTCAGTTTGTCAGCAACGCCTTCATAAGGTTCTGCGAAAAGTTTAAAATTCAGGACATCTCGTCGACGGCTTATAATCCTACAGCAAATGGATTAGCTGAAGCCTTCAACAAGACTATCATCAAACTCTTGTCAAAAATCGTGAAAACTAATAAACGAGACTGGGATGACAAGCTTGGCGCGGCTCTATGGGCCTATCGGACCACAGTGCGCACACCAACGGGAGCAACCCCGTATTCACTGGTGTACGGATGTGAAGCTGTTCTTCCATTGGAGATCCAAATACCATCTCTTCGGATCGCTCTTTCAACCCAGATGTCGACCGAAGAACAACATCAGAAACGCCTCGAAGAACTCGAGAGGCTCGATGAAAAGCGCCTGGAAGCTCAACAGCATATTGAGTTTTACCAAGCTAGAATTTCTCGAGCCTTAGACAAAAAGGTTCGACAAAGGAGTTTCAAAGAAGGAGATTTGGTTCTAGCTGCGAAACGGCCTATGATCCTTAACTCCAAGAAAAAGGGTAAATTCGAACCCAAATGGGAGGGACCATTCGTGGTAGAGACAGTCTACTCGAGTGGCGCCTATCGCCTAGTCACCAAAGATGGCGACCGGCTCATGATGCCGATAAACGGCAAATTCCTGAAAAGATACTATCCTTAGTATCTTTTTGGATAACCAATGCATCGGGAAGTTCCCGGAAGAATACCACATGGGTATTCTTAGGGATAACCCGGTCATTGTGGAATTGACGAATAAGAACTCTGCATTCGAACGCTGAAGGTCAGAATGTCTCTTCTTATTCCCATCAAATTTTCCAACTCTTATGAGTTACTTTTGTGAGATGAGATCTAATCCTCTGATAGGTTAATCTTTCCTCACCAAACCATCCGCTGATCAAATCAAACGACAGTGGACCCACCAACATTTCCATCTGCCAGTCATTGGCGTATCTCAAACTCCAGTTTGGTCAAACCTTCCTACAGTTAGGGCCAAAGCCAAAATCCTCTCTCGATTCCTTCCATGAACGAGAGGTCCACTTGAAACAGTCAAACCTATAAAAGTTAGGATTGTTTCCGATCTCGCTTAGTCAAGCCTACACATGGTCAAGACTAAAGTCGAGTCACTCCTTTTCGATAAACGAAAATCCACCTTTGTCCCCTTTTTCCACCAAACCTATAAAAGTTAGGGTTGAAATTGGGTCTTCTCCTCAATGAATGAGGGGTTCTTTGGGTTCAAATGACCAATCCTATAAAAGGTAGTGTCGTTCGAACTTTTCCGATTCTCGGAGTGGAGATCCCACTCTTAGTTTCATCCTGCAGGATTCTGGGGGTGGAGATCCCACCTCGAGTTTCCTTTCCGCCTGAAGATAGAATATAAAATTCTTCCTCTTCGGCAACGGGAGATAGAATATAAAATTCTTCCTCTCTCGTTTCTTTTCCACCGGGAGATAGAATATAAAATTCTTCCTCTCCTCGGACCTTTCCGATGCTCGGAGTGGAGATCCCACTCCCAGTTCATCCTTCCAGATACTGGGGGTGGAGAATCCCACCTCGAGTTTCTTTTCCAGCTGAAGATAGAATATAAAATTCTTCCTCTTTAGCACCGGGAGATAGAATATAAAATTCTTCCTCTCCTCGGACCTTTCCGATGCTCGGAGTGGAGACCCCACTCCCAGTTCATCATTCCGGGTGCTCGGAGTGGAGATCCCATTCCCAGTTCATCCTTCCAGATACTGGGGGTGGAGAATCCCACCTCGAGTTTCTTTTCCAGCTGAAGATAGAATATAAAATTCTTCCTCTTTAGCACCGGGAGATAGAATATAAAATTCTTCCTCTCCTCGGACCTTTCCGATGCTCGGACAGAGTCTTCGGAACTGCTTAAGATCTCCGCGGCTTCATTCTTCAGCTTCATCAATCTCTCCTGTGTAGATCCCAGCTTCTCGAGCGTCTGTTCACGAGAACGCTCTAATCCAGCCAGGTCTTCTGAAATAAGAGTAACGGACTCCTCGGCATGCCTCAAGGCCTCCTTCAATCTAGCCACTTCCTCACGGCCGGAATCCAAAGAGCTGAGTAACTCGGCTCTACCTGTATCCTTCCTCACCATGGTAGCCATCAGCTGCGCAACAGAATGCTCATGTGATCGAAGCTCGCTGCCGATGGAAGATCTCAGGTCGTGCCACTGTGTCAGCCTATGCTCCATCTGAGAGGACACGAAGGAAGAAGCTCCACCAGCCTTCAACTCCTTCAACTCTCGGATCTCTGACTCCAGAACAGTGAAATCGGCAGTGAAGGAATCGGCCAACTCTGGATACCCTTCTTCTCTGAACATCAGCATGTGACGAGAAAAAGAACGCCTGAACTGATCGAAACCGTATCCTCGATGAAGAAGTTTCTCGATCATGCCGTTATAAAAGACGGTAAAAAGGCCGAGGTCCGTACGGAAAATGTCTTTAGAAACGCCTCGAAGAACTCGAGAGGCTCGATGAAGAGCGCCTGGAAGCTCAACAGCAAATTGAGTTTTACCAGGCTAGAATTTCTCGAGCTTTCGACAAAAAGGTTCGACAGAGAAGTTTCAAAGAAGGAGATCTGGTCCTCACCGCTCGCCGAAGTCCCTTAAAGTTTTTGATGATTCTCGGTAAATTTGAACCCAAATGGGAGGGACCATTCGTAGTGGAGACAGTTTACTCGAGTGGCGCATATCGCCTAGTCACCAAGGACGGCGACCGGCTTATGATGCCGATAAATGGCAAATTCCTGAAAAAATACTATCCTTAGTATCTTCAGGATAAATAATGTATCGGGAAGTTCCCGGAAGAATACCACATGGGGTATTCTTAGGGATAACCCAGTCACCGTAAAAGCGATGAATAAGAGATCCATGTTCAAATTCTGAATGTCGGAATGTTTCTTCTTATTGTCAAATTCTCTAACTCTTATGAGTTATTTTTGTGAGATGAGATCCAACCCTCTGATAGGTTAATCTTTCCTCATCAAACCATCTGCTGATCAAATTAATCGACGGTGGATTCACCAAAATTTCTATCTGCCAGTCATTGGCATTTCTCAGACTCAACATGTTAGGTCATAATCACCTAGCATTAAAGTCTCCCTTTGAGTGATAATACGAGTTGGCACTTTCCATCAGGCACAACGGCTGGGCCTATAGTTGCACTTCTTTATTAGTCAAAATAAAAATTTAGACAAATAAGGAGGATCGGGGTGATAAGGTCATCTGCATACCTGTAGGTCCATCATCCTCAGGTATCCGGGGAATGCCAGGAGTCATAAGAGTATCAGTCCCGGTGGCTGGTCCTATGATTGCACCCATATATTAGTCAAAAGTCAGATAAATAAAGAGAAGTATGATGTCCCTAAATCGTATGCGTACCTGCAAGTCCGTCACTCCGAGGTAAGCTAGATATGCCGGGAATCGATATTGGGTTAATCCCAATGGCTGGCGCTGTAATATTAATCCTTCGTTAGTCAGACAAAAGATCAGGCAAGATGAAGGGAATCAGATATATACCTATGAATGAATCACTCTCAAAGGGTGGTCCCGCGGTTCTTCTGGTGGCCTGCTCAGCCAACATATCGGCTAATAATCCAGCGTCAGGTCCCGAGGAACCTGGTACAGAGGCACACCCCTGTTCCTCGAAACCTACATCATGAAAGGCTCCGTCCTCAGCTGGCTTTTCCATCACGACATCTGCAGGACAACCTAAACGTTGGGGATATGTATAAGAAGATAAGGAAGAAGGGAAAGCTCAGAAATACCTGCAGCAAGAACAGAAGATTCTCTTTCCCCATGTTTGAGGAGGGTATCATCGGATGTAGATATACCTGAATATGGAACGGTGGGCTCAACACTATTCACCTGTCCAAGATCAATGTTTAGATCGATACCCAGAGAACCGTCACGAAGGGCGTCGCACATCTGCTCCATGAAGCTATCCATATTATCAGAACCAGTGAATACGGGAGACAATGGGAGTTCGCCCTCTTCAAAGAACCCTGGAACATAAAACATGATTACGAATCCCAGAAGGTAAGTCATCTTAAAGCAATGAAAACGACGAAGTATTACCTTCCTCCCTGTGTCGGCAAAGTCCTAAATCCACTTCATAGGAGCGCTGACCAACGTGTGGTTTATGAGCGATCTTTTTCTTTTTCGGAATATCACCCCTCATAGAACCAACGGGTCGTTCGTGCGTGGACTGGCCACGTGTATCAACCTGGGTAGGAGCTTGGCCACCAGGCCTGAATCTCGCACGACAGGAAGCGAGCGACTCATGGTCGTCGGCTGTCCTACCTGAAATGATAAGGATTATTTCATTAAATGAACCAGATCTTTCGTTGATATCGGTTGAAGTTGAGAAAGAGGATCAAAGAGTATGACAAACCTGCGTCAAGTTCTTCTTGGTCGATATCTATATCCACATACCCCTCCTCAGAAGTCTCGACATCATCGTCAGTAGGAAGGAGCTCTTCATCGTCTTTGCTTGAGAGAGGAGGATTGGCAGACTTTTTCTTCTGTTTCTGAGCAAGCTCGGCTTTACGAGCAGCCATCATAGCGACCTGGACCGAGTGCTCAGACTCTAATTCTGAAAGACTCCTTACACCTATGGATTCATTGGCAGAGAGGAACCACTTACAACTGAGGAAAGTAATCATCGGCTTGCGCCTATATGAAGGAAGAGCAAAGTGGGCTCCGGTGCAACCCACCATAGTCCATAGCCATGCCCGTACGTCGTCAATAAGCCCATATAGTTGGTCGTAACCGAACTGACGAGCAAAACGGCAGGGAAGGTAAGACTCTATGTGGCAATGATTCTTCACCCGGAGAACGAGATACCCAACACGGATGTTCACTAACCAGTGGAAACAACCAACGTCGAGAGCAGTCCGATTAGTTCTGGCTTTCTCCTCATCAGTCAGCACATCACCATAGCGACCCGAAAAGTGGGGAAAACACTTGAAGAACTCCCAGCTCTTGCGAACTTGAAGATCTCGTTGTGCATCGCCGAATTTCTTCCCGAGCCATCTGCTCCTCTCCAACAGCTGCACGAAAGGAATGGGGACATCAACAACGCTGGGCGCCGATATTAAGTCAGGACGGTGAAGAACGAGCCACGCCATCAGATACGCATAAGGAAGCTCGACCTTCGGACAAGTAAGCTCGGTCGATGGTTTAGAACCCACCTGTGTAAAACCACTGACCAGATACCTAAGCCCGCAATGGATGCCGGCAACCATCGCTGGGAGCAGTGAAAGCTCCCTCCCATAAGCTAGCTGAACTGCGGGGAAGAGCACTTCAAGAGGTAAGGCGTCTAAAGACCGGTACGGAACAACACACTTCTTCAACCAGAGGGCAAGGTAGCCTGCTAGCAGAGTCCGGGGCTCGATGGACTTCTGTGCACGGCGGAGGAACGAACGAAACTTGGTTCCTGCAGGAAAAGCTCCCTCAGCACGGGCAATGGTGTAAGAATGAGCCTCAGCCTTCTCCATCAACTCATTAATGGCGGTAGGGGTCAGGACATCTAACTCACGAAGGGGCTCGCCGGAGTCACCCTCCAAATTAGGGAACAGATAGACAGCAAACTTCTTCAAGCTGATTTGCCTTTTCTTCTTCGCTGGAGGAGAAATCTCGATCAAGGAGGTATAATAATGACAAGTGAGGTCCCAAAGAGTATCATGCATGTCGGGAGTATCATTCTTCAACCACCCCAACTGCTGGTTCGAGGGAAAGTACTCCAGATATGGACAATCCCCCATTGGAAGACCAGAAACCTGATACATCTCATGTAAGGCCAACCCTAACTCTCCGCCGCTGGTCATGAACGTGTTACTGTCGGGCATGTATGTCTCCAACAACGCCAAGAAATAGCGGTAGCTGACCGGAAGTCCGTACATGGTGGCCCGTATAGGTGCATACAATCCTCTGCTCTTCAAATCCTTCTCCCAGCGCCCCAAGACGTAACTGGTCATGCGTGTCCACCATCCCTTGGCTTGTGAGAAAGCCCAACCATAGCATCTGTAATCTGGTGGAGGTAACCTTCTCCCAAGATGAGCCAGACGATTCTTCACGGTAGGAGCAGATGCTGATACCTCGCTTGGGGGTGCAGTGTCAAGACCCATAATCCCTGGTCGAAGACCGCGAATATCATGATACCCAGCAGAACCAGGAGTCTTATGATGAGAGGTATATCCACACTGAACTCGCTCAGCATCATCGGTAAGAGGCCAAGACATATGTCGCTCCACGGCCTGCCCCTCCAAATGAGTGAAAGAATACTGACGAGGAATGGAGGGAATATACAGGAGAGCTCCTTCGTCGAGAGTCAGCCAATGCTCCTTGATAAGAGTCAATGTAGCAGGATCCTCAATGTGATCTCCGAACAGAAATCCGGGCTTCTTTAAAGCCTGAGTGGAAGTGGAATCCGCAGTGAAGGAAACATCCGTAATAAGCTGGCGTAAGCAATGACGCCCTCCATCCCGTATCAAACGACAGGATTCGTTGGAGCGATCTCTGTCAAACTGAGGGAGTGGACTAACGGCCTGCCTGATGGAAGCTGAAGAGAAGACCTCCCGGCTACAACCAGTATTAGCATGAGGAGGAAGGCTGCCCACGGGGAACTCGACTGCAACATAACACAAGGATAGAGTCAGAAAGCTCATAAAAAGCGAGATAAAATCAGTCACAGGATAATTGGAGAGACGATTTTGAGTGTCCTACACTGGAAGAACGGTATGCATCATCACGTAAATAATGTGGTAACATACACCGACCTATAAGGTGTAGGACGACACAAAATCGCCCCAATATACCAGAAGACTTGAATTAGCCAAGCAAGGCAAGTCCGAAACCTCGACCCCCGCGAAGGAGGGTGTCGGCCCTTCCCGAATGACCCGCGAAGGGGCCAAACGAGGGTATAACAGAACCACCAAGTCCGAAACCTCGACCCCCGCGAAGGAGGGTGTCGGTTCTTCCTTCATGACCCGCGAAGGGATCAATCGGGGATACAAAAAAAAAAAAATTTCCCACCCCCGAAAAAGGAAGCCGCTGGAGGGGAGGATGCTGTAGGAACTTCTTCCTCGCTAGGCTGCGGACGGGAGCGACTCCTAGGAGGTCGAGGTCGACGTGAAGACATCGAAAATCTGCAATGAAAAGCAGTAAGTAAGGTACAATATGAATACGCGAAATTTAAAAGGGAAATTAAGAACTTTAATTAAAATCCTATGTATAAATAGGATTTTATAGTTGAAGTCTAATTAAACCTACAAATTTTGTGCATGCGAAACAATAATTGTCATTTTCGCAGTTAATTTTGATGAAATACCCAAAATACCCTTCGTGTTCAAGGCTAAATTCGGGTCAAGGACACGCTCGAGTTGGGTCATGGTCATCATACCTGATCACATAGCACCCCCAGTACCCCACAATTTTGTTTAATCTTGGAAATAAACCCTTTTGTAAAATCTAGCCAATTTTGCAAAAAAAACCCTCCACAAATTTCGGTTTGGTTTTCGCAAAACTTTGATCGTAGTTTTGTGGTCTAAACTTCTTGGTTTTCAGCCTTGGATTTCTTGCCCCTTTTGCAAATAAGTCCCTCTAAAACATTTATGGGCAATTTTGCAAATAAACCCTCAACAATTTGTGATCTCTTTGCATGAAGCACACCTCAAAGTTGTGGCCAATTGTGTCAAACATCCAAGCCTCAAAATTCCAGCCCTTTTGCAAATAAGCCCCCCTATACTTTGTGGATTGCTCTTTTGCAAATAACCCCCTCAAATGGTAGCCCTCTTTTGCAAATAACCCCCTCAAGTTTCGGCCTCATTTTTGCACATATACCCCTTCAAGTTTTAGTCCACATTTTTGCACATATACCCCCCAAAATTTCAGCCCCTAATTCGGCCAAAAAACCCCTCAAATCTCACCAAATTTTGCACATGAACCCCCATAAAATTTTGGCCATATATATGCATAAAAATATATATATATATTTTGCAATCAAAGATGAGAGAACCCATATCCCAATTTCGGCCAACAATCTAACCCAATGCAAATTTCGGTTTTCCCCCAAATCAACAAATTAGGGTTTTGGATTTTGAAAATTTCAAAAGAGGGGAAATCAAATTGAAGTTGTGATGAAGAGAGGTTCTTACCAAAGCTTGGAGAAGTGTTGATAATGGAACCCAAGATCCTCCAAACCCAACTTCCTTTGCTTGAACCCTTGGAGAAGATGAGGACTTGGAGAGGAAGAGGTTGAAGGCCTTGAAGAAGATGGGTTTAAAAGCTTGATGAGGGAGAGCTCTTGGGGGGGCGGATTCTTACTGGAACCGGAAACAAAAAAAAATGAAGAAGGAGGCAGAACCTAGCTGCTGGAACCGAAGAAAGAAAAGAAAAGAAGAGGAGAAGGGTAAATCGGCTTTATATTGGACATTTTTTTTTCTTGTTTTTGTTGAACCGAACCGGCCTGAACCGGACCGGTCTGAACCGAAACCAAACCTAAATTGTTGATTCATACGCGTGTGGGCCGTGAAATGTGGGCTCGCGCATGTGGAAGGGTCCGGGGATAATTCATATGCGTTTTGAACCTCTTTTCGGATGTTTTTACGACGTATTCAACACTCGTATTTATACCCCGATGAGAATACGAGTCTAAACTATTTCTCACAATTGATGGGAAGTTCCTGGAAAATATTTTGTAAGGATAACCCGTCAACCTCCGACGGGTACACGAGGCTAAACTAATTCCCGAAACTCCCAAGAGTACACGAGTATAAACTGGTTCTCCTCACGTTCGACGATTCGAAACCCTAGGGTCAACGCCGGTCAACGCGTAACCCTAGGTCAACGCCAGTCAACGCGTTACGACAAAAAGTCAACGTTCGACGTTCGAAACCCTAGGGCCAACGTCAGTCAACGCGTAACCCTAGGTCAACGCCAGTCAACGCGTTGCGACAAGAAGTCAACATACGGTGATCTGAAACCCTAAGTCAGCACAATATGACGGAGATAGTCAGTTCAAAGTCAACTCAATGACATAAGCCAAACTCGACTCACTGGTGGTAGACTCGAGACTCCGACGACGGCCAGGCGATAAACGCAGCGCCGGAAGAACTTCGTTTATCCGTCAAAGCATCGAATAGACCAAAAATCGAAGGAGCCAAGAGTTGAAGCTAACTACAGGTCCTTTACACCGACTGAAGGCTGGACCAATCACATCCAAAGTATTCCAGCCTCTTCTATAAAAGAAACGAGTCCGGAACGCTTTGGAGGGGGTATCTGTAGGCATCGAAAATTGCCTATAGGTCTCCACGAACAGCTCAGTGTTAAGGAACGACAATGAACGTCACTATCTGGTTCACAGGAGTTCGATTAACGTCGGTGAACGATTGAAGTGAATCGACGAACTACGTGAGCTGACAGAATTTCGGAATAACGAAGGCACAGGCTAATTGAGAGCCCCGCGATGTTTACAAAAAGAACAACGCCTTTCATATCTCGTTCGTTCTACGGATAATCCAACCATCGGGGCTAATAGAACTCTTCGTCAGAATTCCAACGCAATTCGAATCACTAAAATCCGAGTTCGGACGAAGAATTTACAACGGAGTGTCTCAGATTTTTAGAGACACCCCAGGGGCGTCCTAGATTTTTAGGGACACCCCAGGGGCGTCCTAGATTTTTGGGGACACCCCAGGGGCGTCCTAGATTTTTGAGGATACCCCAGGGGCGTCCTAGATTTTTGGGGACACCCTAGGGGTGTCACCTATAAATAGAAGCCTTAGGGCTCACTTTTTGGGGATCTGGATTTTTGGAGAATTGGCGAAGCCCTGCTGGAGTGAAGAGTGATCGAGCACTTCAACACAAGAGAATTTTTCATCAGATCTATATCACCCGCATCCGTTCCTTAGCATTACCCCTCGTCGGTAATCCTAAGAAGAGCAAATATCTCGCTTTATCCGAGATAGGCGCTCCAAGTTTCTAGATCTCCTCGCGGATCGACGAAGCTCTGCCCGATTTTTCTGGATCAGATCTGATTGTCAGGTAGTCCACGGATATCGACGTCCCCGTCACAGGCTAAAGACCCACGCAAGCAAGAGACGATAAACGGATCTTGTGTTTATTTTCAAGAAAGTTGTAATTTTTATTTTCGTTATTTGAATTCATTTGTAACGTTTGAAGTTTTAATGAAATCAATGATGAATGCAACTTTTGACGAAAACAACGACCAATTATCAGCGGGATTCAATACCCTCCAACTCCTTTGCTAACTGTTCACGAGCCTTCTCTTGAGTGGCTAGAGAGGCCTGCGCATCAGCTATGACTTGCTTCAGCTTCGCTATCTCGGAAGACAGGCGAGAAAGGCGATTATCGGCCTTCCATTGTTCGAAAGCCACTCCCTCGTCTTCGGCCTTGACCTGCTCCAACTCTGCTAGTAGCCTTGCCTCCAACGACATGATCTCATTCAATCGCCGGTCGCGCTCTTCCACTGCTGCTCGAACTTCGCCGGATGTGAGATCAACAATTTCGGAACTTTTCGCGCGAAGGGCCAGCAACTGTCGAATGGCCTCCTCCACTTCTTTCAAACGATGGAAGTACGGTTTAGCCGTAGTGGCGCCAAGCTTCTTGACTAAGAAGACCATGCCATGATCCAGGTCCTCCTTGAACTCCTCGAAGGGGCAGTTCTCTTCCAACGCAAACTTGATGCAATGAGCTAAAGTGTCTTGAAAGTTAGCCAGGATTTGGGCCACCTTCCTTTTTATGCAAACGTTCCAAGGGAGAAAGGATAGCCTCTTCTCCCACGGATGAGGTCGCAAGCAAGGTAGGGGTAATCATGACTACGATAGGTGCCGCCAAGG